CACCGTATTTATATTAAGATCTGTGTGGATATTCGTATATTTTATGTACCACGGTGCATTAGAGCTGTTAAACTATTGACAGTCATCCCATTCGATGTTTTTGATGGTTTGCATTGAAACTATCGATAGTATCGGATAATTTTAAACTGCATTGACGAAACTTTTTCGGTTTTGTTTAGTTCCTGAAGAATTAGCTAATTGTTATATAGACAGTCCGACTGATTCCCAATTTTTGGCCGATGCCGATTAATCGGTCTTAGAGCAAAGAATCGGCCGATGCCGATGCCAGTTCCTTAAAAAAAAATACCTATAAATTAATTCAAGAACAAATGTTACTGATAAGTTTTTATCATGGTGAAATTATAATAAGGTGTTGTCACTTAGGGGGTGGTTGTTGTAATTTTGACAATTTCGGCATACCAGCGTTACAGTAATGCCTACTCTATTCATCCCAATTTCATTTCTTGGCAAAATGGAACAAAAAATGGAGCAGGCAATTTTGTAAAAAAATTATGCGTATGTATCACTTACTACGTTTATACGCACGTCTTATTTGTAAATAACAATTTACAAAATGGTAAACTTTGCCGTATAAACGCTGCAAACGCTTTGCAAATAACTAAATCACGCAAATAAGGATTGATTAGTGGTATTATTTGCAAATAAGTGCAAGACGCCGCCATTCTTAGGTTTATTTTCTTTTTCGATGGTCTTCTTATTGCCTTTTAATAATCAAGACGTTGCCATTTTTAACTTTATTTTCTTTTTCTATGGTCATATTATTGCCTTTTTATAATCAGGCAATATTAAAAAAGAATTTTTCACCATCCAATAAACAGTGAGTTAGGTATTTGCAAATAATTTTTATTTGCAAATAGCTAACGTATAAACGTAGTAACTGTTTCTTTGTGTCGCTTTTTCTTTGACTCTTCGTTTAAAATTCATTGGAAAATTAGAGCTATAATTTTCAATAATTGCGATTTTGTAAGTAAATTTTTGATAAAATATATACTATACATACGATAATGCACTTTGGTCGAACAATTTAAACGCATAATTATTTTATAATATAACTGATAGAATTCAGAAATTCAATTTTAAAATGTTAACGAAAATAAAGGTCGTAATAAAATTCCCTTTAAAGTTGAGATATTTAAAAACTAAGTACGCATATACATGTACTTCCGAACTTAAGGAAAAAATACAAATAAAATTCCATACGGGCTAATATGTCATTTTTAGTTGTTTAAAAATTAAATAAAGAGAATGGTATAATTTAATTTGTTTTAATATGAATAAATGAAAGACGGAAAATAGTCCTTATTTTTTAAGTACTAACCATCATCATATGTGTGTGCTGCGACCGTGTGGCCTTGAAGTTTTACAAATAATAATTTTAAGGTAGAAAAATATAACTGAATAAGTAATAATAATTTCTTTTGAGCGAAAAAATTAAACTGTAATTACACTGGTTTACAGAAAAAATATTTTATTGATGCAAGCTTCATTTAACTGGTGTGGGGTCCACTGATATATGTATGTATTGGAAATATTACCCAAAAAGTAGTAAAAATAATCCTAATCTTTTCGCCCTTTTTCTACTACCCCAAAATGCATGGCTGCAATTGGCATGCAGAAAGAGTGAGGTTATGTAAGTGACATCACCTTATATTTATTTCACCATGAGTTTTTATAATAACAAAAGAAAAATATAAAAAATAACATTACAAAACAAATAATCATTCTAGAATCTATTCACTTATTTATGCTAGTAAAAATTTCAAACTTTTTCTTTTAAACATTCTGAGTATGCAGTTTTTTAGCCTATTCAATTTTATTTTAATGGAGTGGAAATTTTAAGTAACTAGGACTTACTATTGATTTTCGTAAATGTTTTTTGTGGAAGGTGTTGCGGATTTTCTCCATACAAACATTTTTTTTCGAATATACTTTGTTTGGAAGAAAATGCGTGAACAAAAAATTATCAAAAATCATCACTTACTGAACAGAATGCAGTACCAGAGCCATTCGCTAGCTACATCCGAAAAAATACACCATAATCACAGCTACATATTGTGGGCAGTTTAGTGCATTTACACTAAACAGCATTTACACTTGACAGCTCTTGCTACATACCACAGCCTCACCATTCTGGTTCGGCAGTTACCTAGCTACTTCAAACTTGTACTTTATTGTACTAAAATTTAAAAATCTGCTTACTCAAAAAAATTTTAAAAAATCTGACTAAACAGTTTATAATTTTGATTAACATTTGTTAAAATTGCGGAAAAAGTAAAAAGAATCGGCCAAAAACGGCCATGCCGATGCCGTTTAATCGGTCGGACTCTACTTTAAAGCATTCTCTTTTGTGTTTTCCATTTGCGAAAGTGTCAAAAGCAAAGCAAGAAACTTGAAACCACTTGACGGTACAGACGGATATGTTCTTTTTTCTTCTCAACCCCTCTCTTACACTAGAAAGTAGAATTAAATTCATTACTTGAACCGCGTAAAATCCGGTAGTAGGTAAAAAAATAGTGATGTGTAAGCAAATCAAAGTAGCCAAATTCCCATTTCCAAAAATTTAAAAATTTATACTAGGTAGTACATATAATATAAACAATTAGGGAGTTCACAAGTCGTGCTATTTGTCATATTTGCTCTTTTATACTATTTTTTTAGAAAAGTTTTAAAAGTGTTGTTTTTGCTTTACAAGTAAAATTGTTGTATTACAATACAACTTGGAAAAATATGTTTACTTTGCTATTTGTGAGTGCTATTGGATCAGACATTTCTATTTATTTACATTTTTCCTTGTTTGAGTACAATAAAATATTCAAATTTTAAATAAAAAAATGGAGTCATATCATGGCAATGGAGTAAGTTATCTTTAATTTATTACATATTTAACTTATTAAAGATCTTTTTTAATTCAGTGCAAAACTAAGCGTGTCCGGGGAAAACCAATCCATATGTGGACAGTGTCGGAAGAGAAGTCCCTAATTGATTTTCTTTTAGAAAACCGCCTATTTGAGGTTGTAACACATTCAGATCCCAATTGTTTGCTTTCGGAACTCCTAGATGGACACTTCGGCGATTTGCCAACAACACAGGCATATTCAACCTAAAAGTTTCATCGATCTCTTCCTCCTCATCTTCATCGCCTAACAAAAATGCACCAAATAAATTTAAAAAACTAATAAATGACTTATTTGACGACTCACTTCCTTCCATCATTGCGTCCTGCGCGTACTTCTCGCAAATCGCAGCCATTAATTTGATTTTCTCGCTTCTTCTGGGCATTATAAACTTTCTAAAGCTGTTTTAATAATTTTATTGTTAAAATATTGTACAATAGCACACGAAAAAGTATGGGATGCTCACAAGTTTCATTTTACAACTGTTCTAAAAAAATAGTACAAACGAGCAAATATGACAAATAGCACGACTTGTGAACTCCCTAAATATATATATTTCCTCAAACGATGGCCAACGACCATTCGATAGTGCAATAATAAAATTATAGTTTAAAAAACTAAAACCTCGCTATTAAAATTTCTATTCGTACTGTCATCAGGTATGTAACTTGAGAATAGAAATCGCTGCATCTTTTAGGCGCATCAATATTACATAGTTACATCCCGAGTTAATAAAAGGAAGGTAAAAAGGGTGTTTTTTCCTTTAAATGTGATTTTTCTCAAATTTTTATATACGAAGTATACAAATATGCATATCAAATGAAAGGGTATTTAATCATCTTAACAACGATACAACTTAAAAAAAAATAGTAATTTTTTTGTTTAAATATTTTTCTTTATAAAAAAGGGTATTTTTTAATTTAAATGTGGTTTTTCTAAAATTTTTATACACGAAGTATACAAATATGCATATCGGAAGAAAGGGACTTAATCACCTTTACATCGATATAGATCAGTTCAAAACTGTTTGAAATATAAGGTTTTTAATTTTTCGAAGACCCGACCTTTGACCCCTTACAGCACCTGTAATATGAATCTGCACAAAAAAGCTTATATACCATAGGTTTTTAGTTATTTACATGCAATAATTAAATATCATTTTTTACCAAAGGTCCTATTTCGAACTTCGAAGGTCATATCGCGATTTCGGAGGCTAACTTCGTAAAACGGAGAAATAACTGTTTCACCTATGACACAATCTCTAAAATAATTGGTTTGGTCCAATACCCAGAAAAAAAGTTGATTTTGCCGCACAGTGTAATCCGTGCAGTGGGCCTACCGGTGAAACCATGATTAAAAATTGCGCCAGTATACTACCTCAAGACCACAATTTTTTAATCGCTATATCTCAGATATGGTACAACAGTATATTTTGCTTTGCTGTCTTTGTGCTTAAGTGCACATTTAAGATACCTATTTACCCCAAAATGCGCATAAGCGGCATTATTTTAAACAGTTATAAGGAAACTGCTCCGATACACATTCAACATACCTGCACATTAGCAATACTTGCCTTAAAAATTTGCAACTATTATCAATTATCAAAGGAAGTATTACGTTTACCTGGACTGGCTCTACACTTACCCTAATTTTACAAGCTTTTATTTGTTTTGCTCATCTTGAAGAACAACGAAAACGGCTTTCATTTTATGTAGTTATATATATTATTAGATATCATTCGGAAAAATTTGGCTTGCAGTAATTTCTACGTGTCAAGTGCTCCTCCATTATTTGGTTTCATAAGGATTCGGATACTTTTATCATTGAAGTAGTAAAGAAAATTCAAAGCAAAATATACTGTAGTTCTTAGGAACAAAAGTGTCATAACAGTTTTTTAAGATATGTAATAGCATAATCTACTTTTTTGTCTAACCTATGTTTAGGATAAACCTAACCGTTTGGCTGAAATTTGCAAAAAAAGCTTATTTATGTGACCTTTTGCGTTGATCAAGTTTTTTTTACAGATGTGGGATTTATTGAGCTAACTTGACTGGGCTTAATGTACAATTATGGAATTATACTTACGTCTATAATTTTTGCTACAAAGGTATATGATCCTTCCACATCTGGCCAATCTAGTTGCTGCCAGAATGTCTTTATTTGATAAAATATCGCAAGAGTATCCACTGCAGATGAACTATATTTCACTGTGTCATCGACAGCTTGCAATCGGTCCAACTCAATGGCTTTATCAATTCGATTTAATGCCTTAACAATTGAAATGCCGAGCCAGTGGGTAACACCAGTCATAAACCAACAATGAAATTTTTCTAGTGCTAGGTCTTCATTTGGACATAGACATTTACCTAAAATAAATAATTTTTAAAGTTAAAACTGAGGTTAAAAGGGAGGCAAAAAAAATATAACCATTCGATAGTATCCACGGTGGAGATAATACAGAAGGTGACGCCGATGGCAATACCGTTAATCGGCTCTCAGTGAATTTGACAGAATCAGCTGTTTTGCTGACGTCACAGTAGAGATGACAGCAGTTTATTTACTTACTATTGTTGGTAAATATCCTTGTGTGTGTGCAATCAGCAAGTAAAGAAATTTCAAGCGTTTTATTGAATACTTTAATATTTCCACCAATTTGTTTTAAATAGTAATGTGCGCAGTAAAAACGTGTGCTAGTGATAATAGCACTACTACAAAGATTTCCAGGTTGCAAGGTGTAATATGAATCATAACAGCCTTCGGCATAAGTAAGCTATTTCTGGTTTACAAGCCGATTTCAACGAAAGAAACTCTTCATTCTCATAGCTGCGTGTTTGACATAGCACTGCGTACATGGAGGCATTAATAAGATCACCGTTCAAACTAATATCTACCTTGGATGTACTAGTTTTGACGCCTGTGGCCCGCAAATCATACCAAACGTGAACATGCTCCTTGCGCAATGTGTGCATTGACTAAAATTAGGTTCCAGTGATTACTTCAACATCTCTAAATACAACCGATTGTGTTGATGAACTGCAAAGGGGATACTTATATATTACAAGCACTGGCTGAGTGCGCAAACTTACTAAATTATACTTACCATAATTGGATTTTATGTGTAGTGGGTGTTTGATGATATATCTGTGGAAATATCAGTTCCACTTCCTCTACAAAGCTATTTTAAAAATATTGGAATATAGTTGAACAGAAAAAGTATGCAAATATGTGCATACGTATGCATATTTTGCTACTAATGAATGCCCTTCTGCAATGCTAACCTGTGCACAACACCAGACAGTTACTCAAACAGCTACTGAGACAACCGGGTGAAAGTGCTTAGGCAACTGCATAGAACGACCGGATTTCATATTCAAGGAGGCATGAACAAGACTTCTCCACCTCGCCGTTCGTTTTATAGACAAAAACGCTGAGGAACTCGTCAATCGGATCCATTTTTTATGACATATGCAAACACAATTGTAAACGCTGTTTTTGCCACAAAATAGTATACCTACCAGAATATATTAACTGACTCTTACATTTCTGCGTCCATTTTTAATTCCACCATGAAATATTTGATTTAATTAAATATATATTCTTTTTCGTATCAAAAGCCACGCAACTTGCACATTTTTCTGAACTAACTTAAAACTTGTTTACAAATATTGGACATTTGGACAGCTTGTTCTCGCCGCTCTCAGTTGTCAACTCTACGATGACGTCAGGCTAAAATTACTCTCCTGAATTCTACTGCAATCGGCGCAATCTTGTATTCTATCATTCTTGGATAGTATCGATAGTTTTACAGCTCTAGACTCTAGACTGCAGTCTTTGTTGTCCGTTCAAAATGGAATTACACGCTGTTTCCCAACATGCCTTCATCATCATATTAAAAAGCAAGATCTTGGTATCTAGCTTTAATTTAGATTTGTGTCCTATTACCCATCGAAGGCTTGCTTATTTCAGTTTCGCTTGAGAAATTTTGTTTTCCATATGCTTTTTCCAGGTAACTTCTATCTAGTGTCATGCCAAGATACGTGACACTATCTTTTTATTGCCTTGCTGTTTATTTTTAGTGGTGGACAAGTTCCTTTTTTCAAAGTCAATGTTGTTTGAATACTCTTGCTCTCGTTAACATTTCTCCTTTAAAAACCCAGCCATAGCTCCAACTTTTTAAAAAATCCTTGCAGCTTGTGAGAAGCCTTTTTAGGGTCTGAACTATTGCTGTGTCGTCAGCAAGCGTTGAAATGTTTAGGCACGGTGCACATTAGAGCGATACGATATGCGATACGATACGCGATGCGATATGAAATGCGCGCAGTGCACATTAGAGCGACGCGATACGCGATACCATTTTGTGATAGCTACACAAACATTTGTGCCCTTATAAGCTTGTAAATGAGTTGCATCTCAACCGAGTTTCGACCTTTCGAATGATGGGTCTATGTTTATATCTATAAACTTAAAAAAAATTTAAGAGAAAAGTATGTTTAATATCGGGTAAAACTGATGTTTATTTATACAAAGTCAGCTAAAAATTAAATGAGATATTTAAATTTTCATTTCAAATTATCTCATAATATTGCGTTCACTACAAGGAGAAATCGGTGAAAGCTGAATTAAAAAAAGGTTAAGCAAAAATTTTTGAGTTATATAGCCAAAAATATTATTTTTCTCATGAAAGGTTGAATAACTTAGTCAGATTTCCCCCGATTTTTTAAAGTAAAAATCACTATATATCAAATGTTAATATTGCATCAAATCAGGTAGTATAGTTGCTTTACAAAATATTGCGTGAAAACTTTGCCAAATTTGAAAAAAAGGCGAAAAATTAACACAAAAAATACACACAGATCTCTTAAGTTTTCTAAAAGTTTATATACATATATCATTCGAAAGGCCTAAACTCGGTTTATAGTAAACTGAGTTACAAGCTTATAAGTGCGGAAAACCAGTTTTTAACAGTAAATCAAGATTGTGTGGGTGTTTGACAAAAATTTCGTATCTCGATTCTTACTTCACTCGGCAAAACTTACCTGAAAAATAACATGACCTACCAGGTATTTTTACTTCATTATTTTTTTGTAGCATTGTGTAATAGAGCACAGAAATTTGTACCTACTTTCTCTCTTTAATTTAAAAACTCCTTAAATATAAGAAAATAACACTCAAGAAAAAAACATATATTTAAAAATATAACGAATAATCAAAAATAAATACCTATATACATACATAATTTTTTAGTATTTGTTATTATTTCTGATTTCTTCTTTTATTGGTAAATGAGATGATTATTTCTTAATTGTTTCTAATTACACTGATTACTAATTATTTGAATATTTGAAACAAAATAGTTAAGCATTAATATTTAAACAAACACTAAATCTTTGTTGGTATTCAAAAGCAAAAATAAATCGATTTAAAATTATTGGATTCTTTAAATTTTTTTTTAAGATGTGAAAACAAGGTGTCCTTGACCTCAGACGCTATATTTCTCCATGCCAAACTAGTCATGTCTGTTGTACAGTCGTTTTTTTGTGTGTATAGTTTCATAAACATGGGTGTTTTTATAAATTCGACTAAAAAAATTGAGGAAAATGCTCCCGCCTGTGAAATGGTCATGCTTATTGCAAAAAATACCATGCAATGCTAATCTCACCTTCAGAAAACCGTGTCGCACGTGCGATACGCATGCAATATTATATCGCAGCGGTGTCGCACGTGCGATACGCATGCGATATTATGCGCAGCGGTGCCGCTATCGTGCAAGTGTGCATAGTTTTCATCGCTTCCTACCAATTCCCACGTACTCAGCATGCCGATGTCGCATTCATATCGTATCGCATATCGCATCGTATTGGCAAAATTTGTTTATACTCGAGCGCACTTGTGCACAAGGGTATATTAATTTTGTTCACATAACGGTTGTTTGTAACAGCCAAACGAATCGAGATAGATATAGAGAAATGTATACATAAATGATCAGAATGAATAGAGAAATCGTTTAAGCCATGTCTGTCTGTCCGTCAGTCCGTGTACACGACAACTCGAGCAAAAATTGAGGTATCTCAACGAAATTTGCTATGTACGTTTCTACTTATCCAAGGTAGATCGGTATTGAAAATGGGCGAAATCGGACTGTAACCACGCCCACTTCCCATATAACGGTAATTTTCAGAAATACAAAAACTGCGATATTTTAGTAACTACTGGAGATTATTCACTCAAAATTGATATTTACAATAAGTTTTAGACAAGAAATAAGAATATTATAAATTTTCGGAAAATGGGCGTAGCCACGCCCACTTATGGTTATATCTTGGTAACCGCTGCACCAATTTCTTCCAAACATTTCTTCCAAACTTGGCACAGTTGTTGGCCTTCGCACTATATACCAAATGGCCGAAAATTTTTAAAATCGGACAATAACCACGCCCACATCCCATATAACGCTAATTTAGAGAAATACAAAATCTTCGATAGATCAGTAAATATTAAAGCTAATTTATTCAAAATTGATGCTTGCAACAGTTCTTAACCAAGAAATACGCTTTTGGAAAATGGGCGTGGCACCGCCCACTTATGATCACATATATGTATCTCGGTAACCGTTCTACCAATTTGTTCCAAACTCGGTATGGTTATTTTGCTTGCCACATAAAAGCAAAACTAAAATTGAGGCCGCTTTTCATATAACGGTAAATTTCAAAACTGCTTGATACTTCAAAATTTCGAAATCTAAGGACTCTAATGTGCTCAAAATTGCCGGGGCGTCCGGCTTACCATGTAGTGGTAGCTTTCGGTAAGGTGACAAACATATATTTAATGCGTGCGCCGGGTATTTAATGTTCGGCTCCGCCCGAACTTAGACTTTCTTACTTGTTTAGTTTCACTTTTGTTTCAACATATTTTGATTAAAAGAAAAATATTGTTAAAAATAAAATTAAAAAAACAGGGTTGAAATCTTGAACTTCCTGCCCGTAGTTTGTTTGTAAGTCAAATATGAGTGGCATTGTGCTACTATGATAGCACGGCCGAGTAATCATAGGCAACTTATGTACAGTAGTCGAAAAAATTATAGCCGCACCGAATTTTGACAAGTTTTAAAAGAATCTTTTTGTTGTTATTTAATTTTGTTAATATTTAAATTTTATAGTTCATCCGTATAAATACAAGTTTAAAGGCAGAGTCACACGATTGGGTATTTCCTAAAATTTGGTGTAAATCATATCCCAATTGTTTGAACACCCAAAATATTTTTCACTATCCCAACCACGAAAATTAATTTATTGAAGTTTTTCAATAGAACATCGCTGTATTTTACCAATCTTTTGAATGCAAAACAAAATGTCCCACTTTTTTTACC